AGTAGCCACAAACAAGATGTAAATGAATAAGCATGGTTATCTTTCAGTCAAAAACTTTACTTGTAGATGCTGTATGTGAGTTTTAGATAATTTTCCCGTGTCACAAAATATTATTCTTCCTTTGCTCTTTTCCAGCCATATAAAAGTGTAAAAGCCGTACTAAACTCTCAGACCTTACAAAAACAGACAGAGGACTGAATCTGACCTGAGGATGTTAGTTTGATGAGCCTTCTCTTCTAGCAACAAAAGGCACTTTTAGGTATTGGTGTCTCTTTATGTATTTCTTATATTCTTTTTTTTTGTGGTTGATCTCAATCTTGTCCTACTGATAGACTTCTTCCACATGAGAGTGGAGGTGGGATGGAGAGTTAGATGGCCCAAAGGTCCAGTCTTACAATTCCAGTTTGGTTATCTCAGAGTAAAGGGTACCTCTTCTGTCCTCCAGTGTCTGTAATAAAATTCTCTCTGACTGCATTGATTTGGCTTAACATGGGTCAACCACTGTGGATAAATGGTCAGGGTATTTGACTGGCTAGTCCAAAGTCTTGTGGTCACCCATCCCTATGACAATGATGAAGTACAGATTCTGGACACTCTCCATCCTCATCAGAATGACATGACACAGGGGATCATTCTTCAAGGACATGAAGCAAAGGGCATAGTATAGAGAAAAATAGAAGCTTCTACAAGGAATATGGGTAAAACAGTGGTTAAGATCCTTATAGCAGTATATGTTAAAAGGTTGATTTTTATGATATGTAAATCATATCTCAATTAAAATTTAAAAAATATATATCCTTATGGAGGTAACACTAATTATGGAGTTGAGTTTGCAAATGACCTATCCACTAGGGGTGAAAAACAACTTTCTCATGAACCCCTTTCCTTCTCAAATTACCACTGCCAAATAGCTTGACAATGTTTCCATTTTTGCAAACTTGACTCCTTCCTCTACCACTCATTCTTCAGTTTATGGTAATCTGGCCTCAATTCTTCCCCTGCCAATAAATAGGTTTGCTTAAACACTAAGGACACTGAGGTTGCCACACCTCTGTCTTAACTTTCTATACTGTGCCAAATTTTCAACAGCTCAAAGTGTCCTTCAGTTTGATGTCTCTTTTCTTGACTTTCATATTTCTACAAGAATGGTTTATGACTATATGATCTCATCTAATTCTTACAGAAAACATGAATGTAGAAAGGACAGGTTCTGTTGTCCCCACTGTAGAGATGAGAAGACTGACATTCAGAACAGAAAACAACTTGTTTCAGATCCAAAAGTCCAGGATTCAAGTCCAGGACTCAAACTGTAAAGTCGGCCATGTAGGATCCAACTACCTGAACCATCACACCACAGGCTGGACCCAGGAATAAAATTTTGATACATGCTACAACATGGATAAACCTCGAAGACATTATACTAAGTAAAATAAGAACAAATATTGCACCTTTCCACTTATAATAAGTACCTAGAGTTGACTGAATTCCTAGAGACAGAAAATAAAATAGTGGTTACCAGATGCTGAGGGGAAGAAGGAATGGAGAGTTCACACTTAAAAAGTCCACAGAGTTTCACTTTTGGGGTGATGAAAAACTTGAAGATGAATGGTGGTAAGGGTTGCACAGTAGAAAGAATTTTTATTTTTTCATAGGCCACGTGCACTCACCAGGAAGAGAGAGAGAGAGAAAGAGAGGGAAAGTAAAAAATCACCCTTCCCAGGGGGGTTCAATACTTTCTCTTCCATTCTTCTCTCGGGATTTTGGCCACAAACATGAATCTGGCGTGATTTTTTTCTTTTTGAGAGAGAGATTTTTGCTATAGGGTATGTGCTCTTACCAGAAAGAGAGAGAGAAAGATAGAGAGATAGAAGAGAGAAATCACCCCCCAGAGGGGATGGCCATGCTGCAATCCCTTCTCCTCCTGAGATCTTGGGCACACATGCACATGCACTCAGCATGAGTTTCAAGCTACTGAATTCAAGACTCGAACAATGGTTGGCCATCTGGGAGTCTAGTAACATAACCATTATGTTATCTGCAGGTTCCCTGGCATAATTTTTTTTTTTTTTTAGAGAGAGTTTTTCTATAGAGTGCATGTGCTCACAGGAGAGAGAGAGAGACAGAAAGAAAAATCAACTCCCTGCTGGGGGGGATGGCCAATACTATAATTCCTTTTCCTCCATTCTCTCAGGATCTTGGGCATGCATGCACATGTACCTGGTGTGAGTTTTAAGCTGCCGGGCCTGGGACTTGAACTGTTTTTGACTATGTAAGAGTCCAGCAATATAACCATTACACCATCTGCTAGTTTTTCCTTCCCAGCATAATTTTTAAGCTGCCAGATCCAAGACTTAAACCATGGTTTGGTCATGTGGGAATACAGTGACCTGACCAGCATGGCACCACTGGCCCCAAGAATGTTCTTAATATCACAGAAGCACACATTTAAAAATGGTTATAATGTTCAGTTCTATGTTATGTGTATTTTACCACAATAAAAACAATGAAAATAAATGTAATTGCACCAACCTGCATTCCAGAAGACATCCTTAATGTTCTGTGTAGTCACCAGTAGTGGTGGTATAACACAGTGAGTTTAAGTATCCTCATCCCAGAGACAGCCTCTCATAAAGTCAACCCTGGTCTTGTCACAAGTTGTGTAACTTGTAACCCTGGATAGGTTACTTACCTCACTGAGCCTCACTCTCTCTACCACTGGTATTGACATGATAAAAATAGCAACAACTCAGGGGATTTTAAGAGGATGAAATAAAGATTGCAGAAATCTTAACCAAAGTGTTATATACTACAGCCAGCCTTCAGTGAGTTGAAGCTATTATTATGATTTCACTTACCTTACATATGCTAAATAATAAGGACGATTTATAGAGTTTCTCAATGAGTTCCTTGCCTCCCGGGCTATTACCTGGGATGGAGTCTCTGTGCAATCATCCATTTTCATGGATGTACGAAGCCTTAATATCTTCAGTTTGGTTTAGCCTCACTCCCCCATCATCTGCCTAATGGACTCAGACTTGCAAAGGATGAGTAAACCAGGCAGGTGAGGCTTCTCAGCCATCCTTGGCAAAGATCCATGACACAGATACAGTTAGCAGCCATTTTTATACTGCATGTTTTTGCTGCAGTCCTGGTCCTCATGTGTCTGTGTAAACATTGGGGCTAATGATAATTGAGGTACACTTTGTGATATGATTAAGCCAGAGGCTATGCAGGGTTTTATTTAATTAGGACAGATGTGCCTGCATTTCCATTTAAGAGTTGTTTCTTGTCTTGCTACACAATTCCACAGCACATATCTGAGAGTAGAGTTCCTTTTGAACTCTCCAAGTGGTTTGTTCTCAGTTAAGTATCATGGCTCTTGGAATATGATCAAAAACTTTGGGGATCACTGACTAGTGTGAATTAAAAAAAATTCAATGTCATGATATAGTAGCAAAGTGGAAAAGCTTGTCAAAATTGTGAAAAAGAATGTGTTGATCTGCCCTTTACTCATTAGGAATTTGAGTAAATTTAACCATTATGAAGTATACCTTTGTATTACCTACAAAGAATGGGTTATTGAGTAAATGAATCAGATAAATAAGATAGCTTAAGTAAATGTATATTCTCACTTTTGAGAATTGTTTTTAAAATAATTTAACTGGGCCAGTTTCC